CTGAGTACCGATGTGGTGTACTCATACACTTTCTGCGCATGTTTTTCATGTGCAGATCTAGGTACTTCCACTCAGACTTATCACGCTTAAGACGAGGCGCTTATAGAGACTCTGAGGTATATCTGCCGCGTCCGCAGACCGAAGAGTCCCTTTCTACTCTCCTTTTAAGTATTAGCCCTTCTGTATTTCTTTTTTTGTTAGATATTCTAGAGTTAGACACTGTAGACATTTAAAAGCTTGTGTTTCATGAGATTCCGGGTTTTGGAAAATGTTGTTAGTTTCGAGAGTTGTTATTGTATGTGCCGAGCGACACCTTAAATACTGTTTTATTTTACTATTTAGGTTTTTAGTTATTTCTTCCACAATTTTTTTTATTTTCCACATTGTTAGGCTTACCTAGTCGTAGAGACTAGGTGCAGTCACGATGGTTCACGGAGGGCAAACCGGGGTTGTGGCAATGTTCCCACCGGGCGAGTGGTTTTTAATTGGAATTTTTACCTCCTATAACGAAGGTTGATGCTTTATTTATTTTAAATATATATACCTTTTTAAAAAATTATATTTCATAGCTACCTTTTGATTTTTTATAGCCAAATATCTATTTATGGTCACCTCCTACCCTTAAGCCATAAAATAAGCTTTGTATTATTTTTCTCTCTCCCCTCAAATTTCTCGTATCCCCTACCCCATATCTATTCTCCCTCTCTCTCTCATCTTCCACCTTTACCTTTTCAACCTAAACACCATAGCCCCTCCATTTTGACTGAGTCCTTCACGACCAACAAAAGGAAATGGTGAATCTATCACCTTCAGATCCGAAAAAGGAATCGCGTCAGAAAAGCACCATTATTTACCCATGCTTTCTTATCTGTTTCTATCTCGTCAATGGCTCAAGCCATTCAAATTCAATTGTAAAGAATAGGTTTTTTGAAGCGCACGTAAGGGTATTATAATAACAGGAACAGTGGCGTTTCAAGTCAGAATCGCGGCCCTCTCGACGAGACGACATTAGGGTTGTTCTTGAACAAAGACGACGAAGTTTGGGGCTGAGCAACTTGAAGATTCTGTTAATATATTTCAATGTATCTCGCTGTATTTCATTGTATTCATTGTCTTTTTTTTCATTGTATTTCAATGTATCTCGTTGTATTCTATGTATTTCATTGTGTTCACTATCTCGTTGTATTTCATGAATGTATTCATATATTTTTTAATTAATATAATTTATGTATTAAGATGTATATATGTATTCAAATTGCTCTATTTTTGTTGTATTTATCGGCTGGGAAAAATATTCAGCATATTTCGCGTCAAATACAAATTATGGGTGATGTAATTGAGTTAGTTGAGTTGTATTAGGAGTCTATTGTATTCACTTTTCGTTTAAAACAGTTGAATAGACCACGATTTGCTATTTACGTTACTGTATTCACAATTACGTATCGTGAATTCAGTCGAATACAATAATCTGTCTAGCTGTAATCCCCTGTTTCATGCCGTGAATACAGTCGAATACAATAATCTGTCTAGCTGTAATCACATGTTTCACGCCGAGAAATGCTACTATATTTATGAATACAGTAGCTTAAATACATCGAATACACTCTAAAAAATTCAAAAATATAGCTATAGGAAGTAATATAGTAAATTGTAGCTACAACTAGCTAATAACCACTAAAATATAGTGGTTTTTAAAAGTTTCTCTTTTTAATTTTAAGCACGTCGAAGTTTTAATAAGCGACCAGGTGTTTCGACCTTCTTGTCCATAAATTTCAAGCTGAGGGCATATCTGACTTTTCAAGAATAGCCTTGCTTCAGTTGTTCTGTTAATTGGCCTGGGGTTTAGCATTTCTCTCTGTTTGTTTACTTTGTTTGTTCTTTTTATTTTGTTTTCATGTTTTGCCAATTTTAATTTAATCGACAGTACTCTGATGAAGAATGAGGGATTTATTGGAGTAGATTTCATGGTTGTAATTGTTTTAACCTGTTAAACTTCTTAAGAAAAATTACAGTTTTTCACCAATGGAGAAACCGAAAACCAAGAAATTCAAGCAATTTCAAAAAAAAATTATTCTATCATCCAAAAAGTGGATTTTAATCTCTAATTTTCTTTCCTAATCCAAGCATTAAATAATTGAGTTAAAATATCCGTATAAATAATCGAATAAAGTGGAATATGTGATGGCGGGAACACAAAGTTAATCGACATTGTGTCCCAACAAAAACTTTTTTTCAAGTGTTAGTTTAAGGGTTGTTTCCCTATCTCCAAATTTAAGATTTATTTGTCTAAATGCTTTTCTTTGTTTTAATTAAGTGGCAAAAGCAGTATGAACAAAAATGAAATTGCAGCTAAGAATTATGAAAACAAAGGATTGATGCAATAATTTAACATGGTTGTATTTCCTCTTCATATAGTGTAATAATATCAGCAACAAACTTCGTTAGTAAACTTGGTAAGGGTGGTGAGAATATGTAAAAATAGAATGATTGAAATTAAAGGGAATAAGACATTCATAGCAACAGTTGGCACACAAAATATATTTATTTGCATGTGATATTTACGACAATATAATTTTACTTTAAGAGTTACAAATTAAAATGAGAATACATATCAGTTGACAGTCCAGGCTGAAAATACATGCATAGATAGTGGTATAACACCAAGGCCGACGATGGAAGCTCGGGACGGAGCCGTATGAGGCGGAAGTCTCATGTACGATTCTCTAAAAAGGGAGTGACTACCGTAAGTTTACCGTTGACTTTATATCTTCCTTGTCGATTTTCCTTTTCGAGATCACCATTCTCCTTGAGCTCGCGGTGCATAAACTATGTTCGTCAACAAAGTTTGTTCAATGGTCTAGACCTACTCAGATAGAACTTCAGGGTACTTTCGAGGCACTGGCAGAAAATGCTGAGCAAAGCTGTTGGCCTGAAGAGTGAGGCTAATCAGTAACATCAACTGCAGAAGAATAAGGTTTAAGTTGATAAACAGGAGAAGGTCGCTGCCCTCCTCACTGGTTGGAAAAGACCCTATTCAATCGTATAGACCTTTTCCCATTTATGGCACAGTATCCCAAGCAGTAAGGCTCTCTCCAAAGACGACCCTCTCGAGTTTCCGGTTGTTTCCGTCATTGAAGTAGCCTTTCGTCGCTCTACCAAACGAAAGAAGTCTTAACTGCCAAAGGAGCGAGGCAACTCGAGTTAGACGAGAGACAGGATCTAATTCCATGTATGTTCGATAGAGCAAAAGGTTCCCCCACAGTGATAGGTCGGTTTGAAGAGCAAGCTTGAAAATAAAATGGAGAGGTCATTCATTCATAGCAAAAAGAAGCTCTCACTCACTCATATATGAAAAGGCAGGCGGGGGTTGTCGGAACTCTTCCTTTCGTTTTGTCTTTACTCATCCCCCCATCCTCCCGTCGCCTGCCCACTCAACTCTGATACCCGAATCTCCTTTTGTTTGAAGTTTATTGGACATGAATAAACCCGAACAGACGTACTCGCTGCTTCTGCCTAATCTTATTCAACTTTAGATGGGAATTAAGGCGAAGCCTAGGGTGGTCTCTGCCTTCTTAACACGCGGTACACTACTAGAAGCGGCGGGGG